CCTACTCCAGGTGTGGGCGTGGATTTCCTTTTTGGTTTCCTTTTGGTTTCCTTTTGGTTTTTGACCAGTTCCCTCAAAGACGCCTTTTGCTTGCAAGGAACTTATGTGGCCTGACAGAAGGCCGGGTCAAGGAAGACCCTGTGCAAAGAGCTTTTTTCGCACGAGCTCATCTCTTTCTCCGAGTTTGCTCCTCCGTCGGAGAAATTGGGAGATGGAGCGACAGACTAACAAGATTGACTCATTTTTCTCGAGCTGCATGTGTTGTTTTGTTTGTTTGCAGCAAACCATCTCGAGCTGCATTTTTTTAAAAAAGAAGATTGCGCACCCTGGGCCATGTGTTGCGCACTCAGCCTTATGTTTGGCTAGTGGCTATCCCATGTTCGGGGCGTGTCGGATTCCGTTTGGAGTAGCGGCAGATGCTTCAGACCAGTTGAACTGACCTGAGGGCGAGGCAGATGTAGGGAGCACCAGCTTGTTGCCAGTAGCATAGGTGTCCCTTTTTTGGTGGTTTTGCCACAGAAAAATAGATGGGTTTCGATTCCTGGTTTACCTTTTTTATTTTCTCATCTACCAGGTAAACTAGAATCTATGTCCCCTAAAAGGACACCTATGGTTGTAAGCCTTCAAGGCTGGGCGGCATTACGTCAGCTACGGCTCGGTCAACGCAAAACGGGCGAAGGATCCCTTGCTTAGCCAGGATCCATATTTCGACCAACTCCACCTCGAAGGTTCCGAAAGTGAGCCTTTGGCGTTTCCCAAGTTGTTGTTTGTTTTATTCCCTAAACTCTCTTTCTTTTTGTTGGGCCACCGTAGTTGGGAATTTATGACACATGGACGCATTCTTGTGTGTCCTTCTTTCTTTCTTCCTTCCTTTCTTTCTTTCTTTGTTTGTTTGTTTGTTTGTTTGTTTGTTTGTTTGTTTGTTTGTTTGTTTGTTTCTTTGTTTCTTTCTTTGTTTTGAAAGGGGACCCTTCGAGGTTGCTTTAAAGGAAGACACGGGCCTCGCCTTTGCGGCTCTAGGAGCTCCAGCACCAAGGAGGAGTGGATCTGGCGGCACTCGCTGTGGCACTTCTTCCTGGCGCTGGACGTGCCCTTCTTCCTGGTGCTTCCTGGCGGAATCGGCCGGGAGAGGTCCGGAGGTCCCCGGTTTCGGAGGGGTGGAATTTGGGGGCGGATTTCGAGGTTGCTTGAGTTTTTCGGTGTGGTCTTCCTGGTGTAGCCTCTCTACTGGCGGAGCTAGATTAGGGCGGATGTCGAGGTTTCAAATTTTGAAGGAACCCGCTTCTTCCTGGTGCGCTCTGGCGTTTTCTCGAGGGAGGGGTGGAATTAGTTTTTCGAGGTCCCCCAGCTAGGTGCCCTTTCTCACCCACTTTTTTGGTTGGGAGGGTTCCCCTACTCAAATAGGCGACAGAACAAAAGGGCACCCTTATTCTAACCTCTCTACTGGAGGACCCAGATAAGGGCGGATTTCGAGGCTTCGAAGTTTTTGGTAACGCTTGGAAGGAACCCACTGGAGGGTGGTTTTGGCGCACGTCCGTTTACCTATTTTTGGTAAGGCTTGAAGAAGGAACCAACCGGGTGTGTGTGTTCTGTTTTTTGCCTTTCTATGTAGAGGAACTTCCCCCTAAAATGGGTGGTTTCCGCAAGTTTCTCTTTAAAACCAACCCTACAAGGAGGAGGCCAAACAAGACAAGTTGTAGCATTTTGGTACCCTGGGGGGGGACTCTCCTTTTCTGCTTCTGTCCTTCTGTCTTCCTCTCTTCCGTCCTTCTCTCTTCCTCTCTTCCTCTCTTCCTCTCTTTCTCTAATGCTCGCCACCCGGCACCACCAAGATCGGAAAATGTAGTCCCTGCTATTGCGATTTGGACCCCAAACAATTTTGGAATTTTAGCTGGCGGCTTGTGGGCCCACATTTTCCGATCTGGATAGGGCCACGGCTACTGCGCTCGCTCTCCCAATTGTTTTCTCAGTCAATGCATGAACAACTCTTGCACTACCTCTGCAGCCGCATCCCACCTATCTCTCCCGCGCACCCACGTTCGCCACTGCGCCAGCCTGATCTTCCGATGCATTGCAGCAGGAAGTGTGCGGTTGGTGTCCTGGACAACTGTCTTCGCGGTCTTCCACCAGCCGTCAAGACTGCAAGTTCCACCAGTCACTTGAAAGACTGTGCCATCTGAAAGCTCGTGCAGACGCTTGGCAGCGTATTCAGGGCCATCGCCTCTGTAAGCGTGAATCACATAGTCCTGCATTTTGGTTTGATCAGCACCCACCGCTCTGTAGCACTTGCTGCCATCTGTGTGCACCAGAACATTGGAGCCAAGAAGCGCTTGGCCGCGTTTCTAGACACACATGAGCCAATGTACTCATCAATGAGATCTGATGTGAAGCCCAGGCACCCGCCAAGCGCAGTTGCGGAGTCCATGCCAATCCACTCATCCAGAGGAGCTTGCGTGAGTAGTTGAAGAAAGCAGGCCGCGCCGTCTGAGGCCCATGGCTCAAAGCGGCCGTGCCATTGGCCGTGCAAGAGGGGCACCTCCATGAGAGCCAGAGCAGCTGCCGTGGTGTCATGCGATGAGCTCCTCAAGAACGACGGAAACAGCCCCCCCCCCCCCCGAAACCCCCCTCCCCCAAACCCCCCCCCCCCCCAAGTTTTGTTTCTTCATTTTTTCTTTCTTTCTTTCTTTCTTTCCTTCCTTCCTTCTTTCTTTCTTTCTTTATTTCTTTCTTGCTTTCCTTCCTTCCTTCCTTTCTGTCTTTCTTTCTTTCTTTTTTTCTTTCTTTCTTTTTTACTTTGTTTCGTTAATTCATTCTTTCTTTCTTTTTTCTTTCTTACTTTGTTTCGTTATTTCGTTCTTTGTTTCGTTCTTTCTTTGTTTTTTCTTTAGTTCTTTCTTTCTTTCTTTCTTTCTTTCTTTCTTTCTTTCTTTCTTTTCCTTTATTTGTTTATTTGTTTCTTTCTCTCTGTCGCTCTTTCGCTTTCTCCCCTTTCCCCCTTTCTTTTTGTCTTTCTTTCTTTTTCCGTCTCTTTTACTCTTGCCTTTTTCTCTGTCTTGCTTCTTCTGTGAATGGTACTCAGATTGCTTGGGAAGTGGTGGGATGCTGAGATGGTTGGTAGACAAAAGGGACCGGACCTCTGGATTGCGTTGCACTTGAAGCCTGCACCAGGTGTTTGTGTTGGAGACGACAATCTATTGTCCGAGCCATGGTGTGCATTGCGTTAAGGTGGTACTCGTTGACAAGCAAGCTGCCTGGAGAAGGGAATCACAGCAATATGTCCCAATTTTAAGAAGCCTTCATGTCCCAGCAAAGTCTTCGATTGACATTGTCTTTTGTTGCCATCCTGTTTGTTGCCTGCGACGAGCAAAGAATGGAACCGCCAAGCAGTTGGTTCTTGGGGCGACGGAGTGAGTGTGGCTTTCGTGTGGCTCATCCTGGTGTTGGTTAAAAGAGGTGTTGGTTAAAGGATGTGTTGAAGTGGATGTCTTTTTGCGGCGCTGCCAGCCAGGGTTCATCAGTGGAACGGTCCCAGGGCCTGTCGCAATCTGTTTGTGCGTGCATTGCAACACATGGGGTGACCCATGGCTTATGTCAGTGCGCAGGGGCAGCGAGTAGACTTAGCCCAGGTTCGGCGTCTACAGCTGAAGGACCTTCCCGCGACCTTCGAGCTGTGAGCCTTCGGCGCGTGAGCGGCCCCAGGGCTCTCTGAACGCCGAAGGCGTGGGCGGCCTTAGCTTTCAGCGCGCGCGGCCCGCGCGCAACGCCGAACGCAGCGCGACGAGCGCGGCGCGGCGAGCGCGGCGCGGCGAGCCCGACGCGGCGAACCCTGCGGCCGCGGGTGCAGTGCGCCCTTTTGCCACCGTAGAGTCTTGTCCGTGGCGCGGGTCTCTTCCGAGAAGAGACTGACAAGATTGTTTGAAGTGCGACATGCCGCATGTTCTCGCAGATCAACATGGATCCCCCGGAACCCCCCACCCGCCATGTTTAAAGGAATAGCCTTTAGGTCCCGCTAACTTGCACTCAGTCTATCCGGTGGACAAAAAATCTGATGGCACGACGATGGCACGACGATGGCACGGACCTTTGGTGGAGGTGTTTACTTATCAGTTCCCAGCCGTCTTCTCAGGTTTGGGGTTGAGTGGGGGTTTCCATTCAACCCACAAAAAGGTCAAGCTTTCAGCAGCGGATCTGAGAAGACAGCCCAGTTTAACAGAGCATGGTGTTTTCTCCCCGATGTAGGTGTTTTGTCTGAACACTTTGGGCCTGGATAATACACTGAACATGAGTGGTTTGCACTTCGAGTTCCCCTTGAAAGATGGGTACCGAGCCACAACAAAGCTGTGGCGGTCGGATACCGCTGTAGATGATGCCATTCTTATGGCAAGCTCACCTTCGAGTAAAATGAGAAAAGCCATGATGTTGGTCGTTTGCTTGGGGATCCAGTTCTTATTTCAGGTTTTGCTTGGCACCCTCAGATCTGGAGGGTGGGTCGAAAACCTCTTTTTCTCCCCCAGGGAAAACCATAGTTGAGGAAACTTGGTTTTAGCAACAAACGATATTTTTTCAACCATGGTTTCATTTCGTGGGTGCGACCCATCCCACAGTACCAAGGGAAGCATCTTCAACGTGACAAACTCGTCACAAGGATCAGAACTGGTGGTTTGGATTGGTGGTTTTAAAAGGGAAACCACTCCCCAACCTCACCACCAAGCAATTCGAAGGACGCAGAAAGGACGGGCATCCCATTTTTCTAGGGGTACCTTCCCCATTCTTTCCGATCCTTCTTTTTTGCAAACCTCCGGAAACCCTGGGAAACGGCCAGTTTCTGGAAAGAACGACGGTTGAAAAGAATGGGGAATCAAGCTTGACTGGTATTTTGGGAAATCAATGGGTTTTCCACTAAACCAACAACAAGTTAAACTTTTTGCAGAGGGCTCAACAGCAACCAAACAACCACACTAATTTTAGTGGCACCGCTGATGATCCCGTCCGCGGTTGAGGTCGGCAGCCATCGCGGCAGTTGAAGGCAGCCGCCAGTGCGCCAAGGCGCGAAAGGGTTGAGCAACAGCCAAATACAGTAAATGGGATAAATGCCCTCCCATTACTAGGTCTCCCAGTAGTGCCCTTTTGCCCTTTTTGGGGGGAGGGTTCCCCTACTAAAATAGACTACCGGAAAAAGGGTACCAACTTATTCTAGCCTCTCTACTGGAGGACCTAGACCAAATAAATGGGATAAGTGCCCTCCCATTCACATGGATACCCTTCCTTCCACTTTGCCATGGCACCTGACAGGGGGTTTGGTTTGGACCATGTTCGTTTTAAAGGGACCGGGTCCCTGTGACCATGTCAATTGGGAGGGTACATAGTTACACACACACACACTCTCTTCTCCCATGAGAGCGAGGCAATGTGGTTCAACCCACAACCCTGTTTTAATTCTTTTGGTTTTTATGGTACTCTTCAAAGGGAAGCCAACCATAGGTTGAATCACCAGGTTGGTGATTTAAGCCATGGTTCAAACAGGTGGCTGGCCCAATCCTCTATGCTTTTGTCAACTGTGGGCATGCTCTCCCATTCACGCACATGGATCTAGCGATCGATCGCTGGCTCGGACAATGGTTTCCCTTTCATCATGTACAGGGCTCTCCTTTTGGCAGTGCTGTGCGAACCTTTGGCTCAAGTGGCAAGACCCCAAGCAAGTGACATGTTTTCCTTCTGTAAACTTCCATTTGCTTAAGAATATTTGATATTTTCCCTTGTTGGTTTTTAAGGGAATCTATCACTACTGGACACGTTTTTCTATTTTTCCCAGTTGCACCACCAAACCACCGGGCTCCAAATGGCCATGGGCCAAAATCCAAATCGTACCCCCAGTGAACATCCCAATCCCCAATAAAATCAAGCCTAAAATGGTGAATTCACTCACCCCAAAATTAGTTTTTGTCTGGTTACCCCCCTGTTTGACCCACCCAGCAAAAAGGAAGAAAGAACAAGTGTTTTTCTTCTCTTTTTTCGCCTAAGCACAGCCAAATCGCCGAATCAGAGGGAAGCTGCGAGAGACTGGACTCGGCCAGGCCCTGGAAACCGTTGGCAAGCCGCAGGCGCTGGTTTTGTAGAGTCTGCAGGTGGAGATTTTGGTGGCTGGTCTCGGGGCCAAAAAAATCCGACCCCCTGGGGATTTTGGAGAGCGGCTACAGGCCATGGGGCCTGTGTCTTGAGATTTCAGGCTTCTTTGCACCTTGGCATAAATGGATGCACCCTTACTCACACATGCGGTTTTGGGTGTTTTTTGGAGAAGCTGTGGATTTTTGGGCCACTCGAAATTGTTGGCCCCAATCTGACCACTCGGAGTTTGTTTGGCCAAGAATCTGACCACTCGGATTCTGTTTTTATGCGCTTTGTGGGGAGCTGCAGCCTTGACCGTTCGTTTTGGCTGGGCCGTTGGTTCGTTTTGGGCTGAGAATGGACAGCTTGTTCTGTTCTATTGCTTCCCGGCCGGAGAATGAGGCCCTTGGCCATGCCAGGGCCACCTTAACATGGTTGTTGTTGGGAAACATGTTTCCCATTTTTGGCTAGAATTTATTTGTTTGTTCCCCTTCCAACAGCAACCAAGTTAAGGCATTTCTTCGGGGTGTTGTCACCAACCACTTCGACGGGGCTTCCTCCATTCATTTGACAGGGAGAGAGAGTTGAGCGCCACAAACAGAGGCGCCAGGATGACATGACATGAGATGCTCTGAAACAGGTCCTCCGAATGAATGCGAGCCAAAGAAGACATGTCTCGATTGCATATGCAGCCTATATAAACGCAGCAATACGGGTGCTTTAAAGGGGAAGCCACCCATTTTGGAGTCCGATTCCTATTTTGAGACAAGCCCATATGGTGAAAACTGATTCTGTGGACAGACCTCGGCGCTTCTTCGTGCCTTTTTTTTTAGATTCGCTGCCGCCTAGCGAATCTCAGGTACCCCTAATTGGTGGTTTGGAGTTTGGATTTTGATTTGAGCACCTTATATTTCCTGGTCCTTTGGGCGACTTGGTTTTGGGTATGGCATGCTCTCTCAAAATGGGACGGAGGTTGCGTCATTACATCATCGGCCACATGGGCGGCAGATATGCCATGCAATTGCTGGCACTGCCACCCCACCCCACCCACCCACCCACCCCGCCACCCCACCCCGCGCCACCCCACAACCTGCCCCCCCACCCAGCCCCCCCACCCAGCCCCCCCACCCAGCCCCCCCACCCAGCCCCCCCACCCAGCCCCCCAGCCCCCCCACCCAGCCCCCCAGCCCCCCCACCCAGCCCCCCCACCCAGCCACCCCACCGCCCCACCCCACCCAGCCCCCACCTTTGGCTTGGCCACTTCTTTCACCGCCCCAGCTACCCTACCGCCAGGCCGAGGATGATAGGGCGGACGAGGCGGGCTTTCGGCCAGGCACTGCCACATGGGCGCTTTTCGGTCATGACCGTTCTGGCGATCCCATTTTGGTTGGTGGATGAATCAACACCCATTGGCCACCTATTTTGATGTTCACCAAGGGGTTTCCAGGGTTTTGACCCACAGCCATGTGTTCGGTCCCCCTTTTGTGGGCTGGTTAAAGACAAGCACGGCAAAAGCCATCCAACATTTCGGGGGGTTCCACCCTTTTTGACGCATACCCACATCGAAGCACAGAATCGTCGGCATCTTGGACTAGTGATTCAATGGAGGTGGATTTCTATGCCAGAGCAACTGAACCTTGTGTTATACATGTTCATCATGAGTCTGAGTATGAGCAAGGGTGCGTTAAACCAATCGTTTTGCCAAATGCGCAGGATGTGCATCACTCGCTGCAATTTCTGGCGTGAGCCACCAAGTCTTTTTCACAAACCCAGACCGGACATCCCAAAGTCCAAAGTTTGTGGGGAAGCTCCTGTATAACGTTCACCCCAAAACGGGGTTGTGGAATCAAGGGGTTTATTCTCACTTCTGTGGTACAAGGGAATCTCCCCCCTTATATGGGGTGTTAGTCTTTGGGAAGCCCTTTTTGTTGTATCACAGAAGTGGTCATTTCCCACAACCCTGCCCCAAAATAATCAATCAACCCTTGTTTGTTAATAGGGAGGTGCTTCTCCCTGAGAGATTTGTGGGGAATCAGACCACTTTTTTGGAGGGGCCCCCAGCCCCCATTAATAAACTGGTTGGTTAATTACATTGGCTGGGTGACTGGAAGGCTGCACTCCTTTGTTCGTTGCTGGCCAAGAGCCTGTGGGTCCCAGCGGGGTTTTCTGCAGTTCCATGGCTCTATGGAGCCACTTTCATGTTGCCCGGAATGGGTGGTCCATCCATTTGCGTCTTGAACAGGAAACCGACGCCCAAAAATTGCCTCGTTTCTTTTTGGCCTCCAAAAATACAACACGCCAGAGCAGGGGTACCAACAAACCTAAGAAGACGAGCCACCCCATTTCCCGGGACAGCCCCAGCCTCAGTTCTCGGGGCCTTGCCTCTGGCTCCTGTCGACATCGAGACACACGAGCCCGTGGTTTCCAAAGCTTTTGGGCACTGGTTGGATCATGCTTTTAGGTTTTTGGTGGTATTTAGGTCCTGGGATCCGGTGTTACTTTTTTTGGCTAGGGCTGGCTTTTTACTAGGGCTGGTCTCCTGGTCCCCTGGTCCCCTGGTCGGTTGGTTGGTTGGTTGGTTGGTTGGCCGGCCGCATCCCCGGCATCACCGGCCTCACTAGCCCTGGGTTGTGGGTTTGGGTTGGTTTGGAGCTGGTTTGTGTTAGGTGTGCTGCTGGTTTAGTAGCGGCTTTAGGGTTGCTTTAGGGTGTGGCAACGCCCCAAACCACCAAAACTAGGCCATAACTCACTTAACCACACCTTAAAGCAACCCTAAAGCCGCTGCTAAACCAGCAGCACACCGAACACAAACCCAACCCAAACCCACTCAAAGTCAACCCTAAACCCGCCCAACAGCAGCCCCGGATGTCAGCCCTTCAAAGGTAGTCCACAAGATCCAAGGGGTTGCGCAAGGATTTGGTTCCCTTCCATATACGGATAATGGAAAATTGGATTGGCCAACCCTGCATTTTCAACGGCCCGGTGAAGCCACCCCCAAACCATCTGCCCCCCCCCCACCCCCATTTTCCTGCCCTACTCCCTATTATTGACCCCGCTCTCCCCCTTCAAAACCCAGCGTTGACGCCTCCCCACCCCCCACCCCCCCCGGCTCATTCACTGAACTTCGGTAAGTGAGTCTGGACCAATCATCAAACTCAAAAAAATCTGTAGAAAATCTACCCCCCCCCCCCCTCTTTCCGGGCAACAGCCGATCTCGTGCCCAGAGTTCGGGGTAGGCCACCGATGCGGGGGAGGCACATGAGGACTCGGAGGCGCGCGCGTTCCTTCCTTCGTGTTGAAAAAATGGGTTCGTGTTGGTTGAAACGGATCGATTCGTTTTTTTCGGGGGTTGGCCTGGAAAAGGGTGGGTTGAGACGTTCGTTGATGGTTCTTTTTTGGGTCGGGTTGAAACGGATCTCTCCCCTTGGAAAAGGTGGGGTTGAAACCGGAAGGAAAGTCAGCAGTGGATGTTTTTGAGGTGATTTCAGGGTTTCCGAGCCATTTCCCTGATTGGAACCTCCAATAGTGGCGATTGTTTCGATGGAAACCACCAGTCAATTGATCAACTTTTGATTTGGGGAAATCCAGCCAGCCCCTGGTTTGATGGGGGCCCTGGAGTACAGTTGTGGTTGGTTTTGCTTGGGTGTCAAAACTCCCTGCCAGATCCGTCACTTGAGGCGCCCCTGCCTGCCTTTCTAATAGAACCAGTTTGTTCCGGGCTTGGGTCATGAACCGCTTTGCGGGCCCCCCTTCAAGGAACCACAATGATTGGGGCCAATACACGGAAGCGAGGAGAGGAAACCTCCCGGTGTACAGTTCACCGTTGGCCTTTGGTGCATTGTTGGCCCGGTTTTTTGTCGGTTCCCTACGCGTGTGTTTTTTTTTGCCTCTCGGTTTCTCAAACCGTTTGACCGTTGGGTCTAGTTGTGATCCAAAGTGAAGGTTGAAGAACCTTGAGACCCTGGGTCTTTTGGGGAGACCTTGACACTTCCCCTTTCTGCAGAGACAATTGCAATTTGGAAGCCTTCTTTTGAGCGATGGTTGCGCACTCACACAAGGCTTACTGGGTACCTTCTTAGAGGTTTAGGCTAGGAGAGGAAACGGGAAACCACTGGTTTACGGGGGGGTCAACCCGTGCATTTGTTTTCACGGTTTTCTGCAAACGGTAGATCCAATTACTTCTACGCTAAGTATTAAGGATTTTACCTCTAAGTGTTTCATGAATACCAGCTTTTTCCGTTTTACCTCTAGGTTTACCTCTAGGTCCACCTCCAGGATTTTACCAGTCCCCTTTGGTTAGTTACCTGCTATAGGGATAAATGGAGGCACTGGGTCTTCTTGAATTGCTAGTTGAGCCTCACGTGGGTATTGCTATTTCACCGGCACCGGCGGGTCCACCAATATACAAGGCGCGCAGGAACGCGCTTCGCTTTTCCAGCCGCAGAACCATGGTGAGACACGGTCGAAACGGACCACGCTGCTTGGTGTTGATGGGATGGTGATCAACCTCAGAGAGTTCAGTGAACGTAAGGTTCCGAGCGGCCCATGCAACTCGCCAAGTCTTGCACATGGCACGTGAGTTTTGGTGCCTTTGGGAGGGACACGAAGGGGGGGGGGGTGGGCGGGCGAAAGCGCGAAGGAGAGGGCACGGGCCCGACATCTCCCACCAAGAGCACGGAAACTAGGTGGTCCAGTATTGCCCTTTCTCACCCCGTGTTGGGTTTAGAGGGTTCCCCTGCTAGAATAGACTACGGAAAAAAGAAACGGTACCCTTACGCTACTGGAGGACCTAAGCAAAGTGTCCCACGCCCACTTGGGGAGCAACTCGTTTTGACCACAGATGTGACTGTGGGTCAAAACCAATGGGATCCCATTTTGGGGTAGGTGAATTCACCACCCATTTTAGAACCTATTTTAGTGGGGATTGGGATGTTCACTGGGGGTACGATTTGGATTTTGACCCATGGCCATGTGACCAGGGCAGTGACTCCGAGCCGGAGCCCAAGAGAGTCACCCCGGAGAAGGCGCGACCGGGTGGGGTGGGGGGGGGGGTGGGGCAGGGGGGGGGTGAGGGGGTGGGGGTGAGGGGGTGGGTGGGGGAGGGGGCTGGGACCACCGTAGGTGTCCGTTTTGGGTGACCAGGCTCAAAATAGATGGCACTGGTTTAGATGAGTTTTGTTCCATTTACCAGGGAAACCCATCCATTTTTCCAAAAGGCCACCTATGGGGGCAACTGTTGAGATCACCCGAAGCATGCACGAGTGAAGAAAGACATGTCCTAAGACTCAGAATGTGAGGCCAGTATTTGGGGCAACTCACTTCCTGAGTTCATGAACTTTAAACTTTTTGGGAAGACCATTTTAGTGGTAATTGTAAAGTTTGAACTTTTTTTGGGCCATCCACTCAGCCAGTGAGGCAACCGTGGCCCTAGTCAAGATCAAGGGTTTGTTTCAGTCGGGCTTTGAAACGGTGGCAAAGAACGGCTATGGGCAAATCCGAAACAGAAGCAGAATTGGGGTGACCAGTGAAACGAGGCTTGGAGGTGCCCGACGTGCGTCCAGCGTGCTGGGGAAGAAGCCCACACAGGGAGGCAACTACACACAGAGTACAGGTAACGTCGTTCCAGAGAGACCATACTCATCATTGGGTGGTTTCCCCTTTCCCTGACTTTGTTTTCGGCGGGGAGTCCTCTGATTACTCTGGCCCGGAAGAATGCGAAGATAAAATCCATGGGGTAAATGGCCCAGACTCTTTTTCTATTCTGGGTGCTAACAGGAGCAACTTGTTGAAGGACCCCAACACGGTGGATTTGTTGTCTTCGCATTTTAGATATGTGGGGGTTGATCAATCTTCTGTTCGGCCCCAAAACGACGGGTAATGTTTCCCATGCGGTGAAAGTCATTGTTTTTGGTGGTGGCCCCAAAACGACGGGTAACTGTTCCTGTGTGGTGAAAGTCAAAGATATTTGTCTTTTGGTGGTTTCCCTGAATTTTGTGCCATGTCCATTGGACCTTTGGATCAGTGGGGTAGACTTAGGATACATTTTACGTTTTACCAGTGACTCCATGTGAAGCAACCAATAATATAAATATAAATATATATATATATTATGTATTATATTTTTATCTTGTATATGCTACAACTGGGCCTAACTCTAATCATGATCAACGGTCATGGGTTTCCAGACCAGGGGCATGGCGTGAAAAACCGGTACTCCTCGCAGGCGACGAGCTCCGTTCTGCCGCGGGGAACTCTGGGCTGGCTGTTGCGAGCTTCCCCCTTTTTTCTTTTCCCACGGGCCGCGGGGCCCTTAGAAAGGGAAGCCAACGCTGCAGTTCAAGAAGGGAGCCGTTAGGGAGCTGGGGGCATCCGAATTTGCTTGTAAAGAGGGAGCCTTTGAAAGTGGAGCCTTTGAAAGAGGAGTACAATGCTTTGGTGCATTTTGCCAAGGGATGTTAGGACTTTAACTTCTTGCTAACTAACGGGTTTTCCGAATTAAACCGCTAAAAGTTAGTCGCTTTTAGCAGGGGAGCAGATTTCGCAACCGAGAACAGGTTGTGGAACACAGGGGACTGTCTTTTTTTGAGGCCACCTTTTGTTCTTGGGTTTTAAGGGGAAGCCACCAGGACAACCACCAGTTTGGGGTTCGCTAAGAGAAAGACCTACCCATTTGGGTATATGTCAAAATATGGGGCTCCCTAAATGGTGGTTTTCCTTTTGGTTTCCCTACAAACCAGACTACAACCCGAAGAAGGGTACACATCCAACAGGCCAATTTCATAGGCGCTCCGTGTTGGATCTTTACATGACGAGTAGACACTCCCTGCAGGAACTTTCTGGGCGGGTGATGTAATGAAAGCCCCTGCAGGTGACTGGTGGTGTAAACCTTGTGCAGGTAATTTGATTGCTGCAAGCCCGAAGTACTAAAATACAAGTCAAGCACGGTTTGGGTTGATATGTCTTCCGTTTTTAGAAGCTGAAAGGAAGCCAGACAGTCACACAGGCATCACAAAAGGGCGTTCTGTTGAATTGGTGGTGCAGGCCAACCCTGAGCACATGTTTGGGTGTCTCTCTCTCTCTCTCTCTCTCTGTCTCTCTCTCTCTCTCTCTCTCTCTCTCTCTCTCTCTGTCTCTGTGCGTGCGTGCTTGCATCCGTCCGTCTGTGCGTGCGTGCGTGCTCCGTGCGTGGGTGGGTGCGTGGGTGCGTGCTTGCGTGCGTGCGTGCATGCGTGCGTGCGTGGGTGCGTGCGTGCGTGCGTGGGTGCGTGCGTGCGTGCTTGTGCGTGCGTGCTTGCGTGCTTGTGCGTGCGTGCTTGCTTGCATGTTGTGTGTGTGCCTCTGTTTTTTTTTTTTTTTTTTTTTTTTTTTTTTTCTGGGGCATCCTCCTCAAGGTTGGTTCAAAGGGAACCCAAAGCAAGCATGCAGTCCAAACCCCATGAGTCGGAGCGGGCTTAGGCGGCTGGTGGCTCAGCGCAACAACAACCACAAGGTGGGCCGCTCCTGAAAGATGTCCACAAGGGCAGAGCCTTTTTTTTCAGAGAGGGGTGTCCTTAAGTTTTGCTTTACCAGGGGCGCACAGGTTTAGAACATGTTTCCATTTACCTAAATCCCAGTTTGGGTACCCAGTTTTGACCCGTACCCAAATATCTACCCTTCCGATCGGGTCTTTTGGAGCAACCCTCAAGCCACTGGAGCACTATACTTGCGCAGAAAAGGCCCGTTGTTGGTTTGTGATGCGATGTTTGGTGCCTTTTGTGGGAAGCACCTGTGCCTCAGGACTCGAATTTGCACCTGCACCTCATGCTGTTTTATGCTGTTTGGAGCCTTCCGCGTCCTTTTCTCAGGCTTCAATGCGTGCATGCCACAGGGTCTCTTCAGCCAATGGCCTGCCAACGACCCCATGTTCTGGGGGCTGGGGCGGAGGGAGGGGAGGGGGAGGGAGCCCAAATAAGCCCTAAATAAGGCCTTGGGCTTAAGGGTGTTTTTGGGCTCCCTCCCCCTCCCCTGCCTCCCCTCCCTCCCCCACAGCCCCCATGGGACTGGCTTTGCCAGGTTCTTCAGCGCTTGAACGCCGAGATTCTGGGGCACCAGCGCAATGTGCCCGGCATCGCCGATGCCTTCCTCTCGTTGGCAAGAGGTCGTGGTTGAAAACGGTTTCTCAGTTGTTCAGCGGCACCAATTCTTTTTCCCCCTCTTTTTGGTGGCTGCCCCACTAAAAATGGTCCAAGCCCCAAAAAGGGTTCCAATTCATTATTTTTTTCCAGGGTCACTGAACAACTGAGGATTGGCAAATTTGGAAGTGTTGTTTCTGTTCAACCTTGTCATACATAACTCACTTCACCGAAACATGTGGCTTTTTCAACACCAGAATAAAGTTGGAAACCACCATTCACAAGTTGCAATGTTCAGGTGTATAATGTAAGGATCCCTGTTGTGTATTCTTTTTGTTCGGCACGGGCAATTAAGTCTTCTAAGGGTCGCGCAGGTTTTCGCGAAGGGCGCCAGACGCCAAGACGAAGCAAAAACCTCACCTCAGCGGACGACACGCATGCGAAACCCGCTGCGTTTTCGATCCCCTCGCCCTGCGCGAAACCAGCTTTGCATCGGCCAACGGAGCCATGGTCAGCATGCTGCTCGGCTGCAATGAGCCGGGAACAAACCTTAATCTGGACAAACGGTAGCGAGCTCTCTGAGATCGGAGGTCAAACGAGCTCACCTATGATGAGGGTCCTTGTCTACGGGTTTCCTTTTTCCGGTTTGGGTGGCACTTTGGCCAGATCAATCTGCCAAACTCACAGCGTTCCAGCTCACTTTGGGCATTCCATTCTCTGGGTTCAAGCTGGACGTGTATGTAATGGGAAGGTGGACCACGCGGAATAGCCACTGGCCCGAACCCCCACTTTGTAAAATGCAACACCCGCAGTTGCAGTTTGTTGGGTCCTCCATGCTTGAAAGTCGGACAATCGGACAAGCTGATTTCCTACACCAAGGGCGCCTGAGCGACAAAGTGATCACAGGAAATCCCACTTCGTACACATAATGGGTACCATGTCTATTTACCGCCCACACGTGCTGGACATTTCGTGTTCTTTGTGTTTGCCCGCCTGTTTTCAACAACCCTCATATTTCGGGCGGGTTTCGAGGCAAACCCAAGCAGTCAGCCACACGCCCCCTCCGTGTGTGTGTGTGTGTGTGTGTGTGTGTGTGTGTGTGTGTGTGGGTGCGTGCGTGCGTGCGTGCATGGGTGCGTGCGTGCGTGCGTGGGTGCGTGCGTGGGTGCGTGCGTGCGTGCGTGGGTGCGTGCGTGCGTGCGTGCGTGGGTGCGTCCGTGCGTGCGTGCGTGGGTGCATGCGTGCGTGCGTGCGTGGGTGGGTGGGTGTGTGTTGTGTTGTGTTGTGTTGTGTTGTGTTGTGTTGTGTTGTGTTGTGTTGTGTTGTGTTGTGTTGTGTTGTGTTGTTTTGTGTTGTGTTGTGTTGTGTTGTGTTGTGTTGTGTTTGTTGTTTTTCCTGCCGTTTTTTTTTTTTTTTGGGGGGGGTAGTCAGGAGCGAGATGCCGGGGCTGCTAGAGGACTCCTCGTGTCTTGGCTGAGATATGGCGACGGTGGGAAGACATAGGAGAGGTTGGGTGGGACCCCCCGTCTTGGGATCTGGAGATCCGCCTTTTGTTTTCTTCTTTAAACGTGTAAAATATATATATATATATATATGAAACTTTTCAGTCAAACGTGTGTTTTTTTCCCGGGCAAATGGGACACCGGGCCCATGGTCTTTTGATTTCACCACTTGGACAAATGGCCTTTTTTTCAGTCAGGTCGAAGGGGACGTTCAACGGCGCGGAGATCTTAAGTCTTTACTGTGATGCCCAGTGGATTTCCATGGGGAAAAAAAGGGCACCCTTTTTTGGTTGGTTGACTTTAAAGGGACACCCTTCGCAAAAAAAGGTTGAAAAAAGGGCACTACTGGGCAACTGGGTTTAAGAGACTCCCATCCTCCTTAAAAAGCCCCCTTGTCCGCGTCAAAACTTCGGTGGCCCAAAGGACCTAGAAATATGCGTTTAACCATTTGAAACCATGACTCAAACTTGACCAAAGCCAGAAAACCAAAAGGTCAATGGTCGGATTCGGGCAAGAGTCGGGGACTCGACGAAACTGCGGCATAGACCTCCTGACGCAACTGTGAAGACCGCGACTCTCGAGTGCCATTGCCTTGAATACTTTGTATTTTGCCTTTGGTTTTAAAGGGAATCTATCGCTACTGGAAATATGCTTATTTTTTCCAGGGGGCGAAAACGCAAATGGAAGTTAAGCGTTTGGGTTCAGCGGCCCAAAAGCTCGGACGTCGACCCGTTTTCAGTCCTGTTGACCTCGGCTGAGAAAGGCGCCCGAATGACTTGTTAGAGGCCCCCACGGGACGTTTGTAGAACTTGCTTGCAGATCATTTCCATACTAAAAGGGAACTATCCCTGAGTAGTACACTCTCCCGACTAGTCTGAAGTCACCATTAGCACTTGCATACCCTTCTGTTGAGGGGAACATGATCTAGTACTTCGGACACCGAATGCATGCGAACTCGCAACTTTGAGGCCTCTGTAGGCCTTTGCTGCCGGTGCCTTGGGGCAACCATGTCGGTTGACACTGATTTCGAATTCGGAACGCTCAGGTCACTTTGGCATTGCAACGGTTTAGATCCACAATTCATCTCAAGCGAATGCCAGCGAAAGGATTCGTTCCGGTACCAGTTCTTGCTGATGCAAACGAATGAAGGGTCAAAATGCAAGTTTCGCTGGGGTTCTCTGTAGACTCCCTGGCTGACCTACCTAGATCTTCTTGGATGCCAACCTTATCAACCAGAAGTGTTTTAAAGGACTACTCTGCTCGTGAAATGGGTACGTGTAGCTAAATGGGCGGCCCCCTAAAACTTGTTGGTTCTCAGGGAATGAGGGAATGACCTCTACAAGCAATCCTCTCCTTCAAGAGTCCGGTTCATTCCCAAAACCCGGAAGGTCATTCCCCACCGCAACAGCAAGCAAAAAGAGTCGGGGAGGGAAACCTCTGGTTCATTCCCAAAACCCGGAAGGCCTTTCCCTACCTATCGCACCAGCAAGTCAAGAATCGTGGCTTTCTCATTCTTTGGGTCTCTCTTCAAAACCCGAAAAGGGCACAGCCGGTTGCCTCAATGCGACGAAACCAAGGGAGGAGGTGGATCCTTTGCCCAGAAGGAGAGGGATGTGGAGAGATGCGGAGAGGGAGACCCCCCAACTCACTTCCGGAGTTTCTGGACTTTGCAAACTTTTTGAGGAGACCGTTTTATGCTCGTAAACAACAGCTTTGGGTGCTTCTTTTTTTTGGCCAAGCCACTCAGGAAGCGAGCCAAGGGGGTTGTCCGGGATGGGCAACCATTTCAATTGCGGGCTGTAGACCAAAGAGATCGCAAGGGGACTTGTATGGCCGTAAGGAGTTTCACGCAGGTATGTGCTGCAAAGCCGCTTCAACATTCGCCTTGGACAACTGTTTTCTAGCTGGCCCCCAAACCGCGAAAGTCACACCTGTGGACCCTTTTGTATTCGCTCATAGTCGCTATAAGTGTTTCACACCGCGCAGAGCAGGCAGAGTCGAGTTGCATAGCAGAGACTGTCCTTCTCGGAAAAACTCGCCTGCTCAACAGCACGAGGCTGTGTGTGTGTTTTGCGGTTTGCGGGTCGCCCGTTTGGGGTTGGTTTAAAAGAACAGGAAACTGCCCCTTCCCATTTTGGCACATATCCACATGCACGCTGCCAATCCGTTCATGAGCATTGCGGATAGGACACAAGCTTAAACAAGCCGCAGCGGCCCTCTCCCTTGAACAACTTGTTGAAACAGGGGGCAAGCTCATTCAAAAGACAAGCAGTACAAAGGAGAACAGGGCTTGAAAGACTTGTCCAATCTTCAAGAGGACATGTTCCCGAAGACAGCGACCCCTGTATGCCTTCTCCCCCCTCGGGAACATTCTGAGTTTTAAGGGTCGGGACGCGAACGTAAGAATGGTTGCAGCTCCATGTATCTGCCATCCGACCGATTCACGTATTCGTGATCCCTCTTTAGCCGGTTTACGGACTCTCATCCCCACTTTTGTGATACAAGGGGCCACCTTTTGCTCAAAGACCTGATTGGGGGATACCTTCCTTTTTTTTGACCGGGGTTGCGGGAAGGGTTTTATCCAGCAACTTCTGCGATACTTGTGGAAATCTCCCCCTTATGGAAGGCAAGTCTTTAGGAAGCCCTTTTGGTTGTATCACAGAAGTCATTTCAACCACAGCCCAGAGGAGTTCTGGGGGCAAAGCCCGGCATTTTTTGTGGCTTTGCAGGGACGCCAAAAGGAACACCACCTTTTTTAGTGTGTGCAAAACAGGGCAAAGGAACACCACACGCTTTTGGACCGTATGCAAAAAAAAAGGCACACCCAAACCCTCAACGCCCATGAAGGCCCGTTAACACGCTTTTGGGGGGTATTTTCCAAGAAAAAGGCACACCCAACGTCCCCCTCGCCACTGACGGCCCCTCATCGCCCCATAGGAAGATCCTCTCGCGCTGCGCAGCGCTCGCGGCGCTGGCCGCGCTGATCTTGGCCGTGCCGAGGTGGGGTATAAACCAGAATCGAAACCCATCTATTCTTTCGCCAAAACCCCAAATTGGACACCTATGCTCACACGGGTGGCTCATGTTTCAGGTTGGGCCCCCCCCAAAGTGGGGTTGTTTTCCTCTTCAGGTCCCTTCAGACGCCAGAAAAAGAGAGAGAAAGGGGCTCACAAGAACCCAGACCCGCGGCATGCGGCGGACGTTTTCGCCTTTCGCCTTTCGCCCCGTTTCTGCCGGGGGTTTAGGCGGTTTACCTCATCTACCGCCATCGATTTCCCCCAAGGCCACCTAGGTTCGCCATTGTTTGCTCATGGCTGGGGGGGGGAGGGAGCCCAAATGGAATTTCAGCCTTAGTAACGCCTCATTGAGAACTTATGGGCTTATTTGGGCTTCCGTCTGCCAGCCTCCATGATTTGCAAGTGTTGTTGTTTTGTCGGTTGTCGAGTTTTGGTGGTGGGCTGCAGGGGTTCTCAAAATGTCCTGT